CCCCCCCCTCCCTTCCACATACCTGACTGCTTTCTCTTTCATAGCCTCTGGCTGCCTTCATCCATCTTCCCACACAGAGCTGTAATTCATGGTCGGAGCACATTCACATGTAGACAGCATAGATAATTGACTGGACCAAAAACTAACCCCTGCTGCTTGAAAACTAGTCACACAGTTAATATATATCTAGAGCCATGTTTCACACTTTGACACAAATTCGGGGTATTTTTCTGAACTGTGGCTTGTTCAGTATAAAGAGTATTGTTTTCTACCAAATAACTTTCTCATAGTGTTAAAGCACATTTAAATCCAGCTCCATCTCACACTGTCATTAAATAGCTTTCATATCCAAATCTGCAAAAAGTCTTAAAAGGACTCTTTCATGGCAACATTTTTACCTCTCTGCACTTAAATAGCTCTATTCAGCTCAGCACAGCTTCAATATGAAAAGCATATGAATAACCTGAATTGCTCTAAAGAGGCTGATGTTTTGGCGCTGGCTGAAAATACCCTTTTCTTTTGTTCAGAGCGTGGCTCTCATTGATGTGGTGAATGTTTATGCTCTGCAGCTCCCTCATAGACTTCGAGATGACCAGTGGGCGTATTTCACGCTGGCACAACAAGGAGGCAAATGACTCAGATTCAAACATCAGGGATGTTGAGAAACACATTCATGTGTTAATAGAAGCTACTGGATTCGCTGGTTGCAATTACATTGCGCGTAGGTTGAAGTATGTGGTGTTATTGTCCGGGAAAGTCAAATTTGAATTCATCATTGGATGAAAATCCTTGAAAATTAATATTTTTGTCCACTATTGTTGTGATTGATGAATGTCTAGTGTTTGAAAAAAGGTGCACAAGAAGACCTGAATTATTTATATTGAGCCATAGTGTGGAGATGAACATGCACTGGCTCTTCTTTGCATAGTGCCCATAGTGATTTTCATACATGTTTTTTAAAATTTATTTTTTACATGAAACACAATCACTATCACCTCAGTACCACAGTAGGGAAAGCACATGTGGAATTAACAGCAGCTCAGTTAAGTGCCCATCTATACCCACACAATTACATCTGATTGCCCAATAAATTGCTAGCCCCAAAGTTTGAAGTCCACTGTCTATTGTAAGAAATTCACCAATGATTGACAGATGAAGTCCAAAGATTCTGTTCACCTCAGTGTTTTTTCAGTTGAAATCACACAGACTTCTGCTGTCAATGCTACACAATAATCAGTTCACAAATAACATACACAGACCCAGTTCTGGTCTGGGACTATCACCAGTACCAACTTGTGAAAATACATGCAATTAGATAATAACAATTGTAAGGTTTGGTTTCTCCTAAGCAGGTTTATTTTTAGAACCAGAAAAACCTCCATCCCTGTTTACTCCTTTTGAAGGCCAGCAGGGGACAACCCCTAAAATGAGGAGTGGCTCAAGACTTTTGCACAGTACTGTACAGTCTATGACTTAAACCCCCAAACTTTAACATGGATGTTTGATACAACTGTGACTCAGGTATTCTTTTGTTTATTTAGTGAAATCTGAATAACACCTGACTGACAGTCTGAAAGGCTATAATATGACCACAACCTTGTGCCTTTGGCCACAGGGCAGGGTCACCATGTGCTGAGGAGCGAAATGTGCAAAAGTCACCAATACTGCTCACTCAATAGTTGCAAGTTCCAAATCTCCCCATGCCATGAAACCTGAGCTTCATGATATGGTAAAGGCCCTTTGCCAGCACAACTGTGCCCAAGTGCACAAAGCAAGGTCTATAAAGGCGTGATCCACCAAGTATCCATCAAGGATACCAAGGATACCCTCCATTAAGTATCTTTGGGACAAACTAGAATGGAGACTTGGAGCCAGTGTCTGTCCGCCCACATGCTCTTCTTTAAGAATGTCTAAAAATTCCCACAGACACACTTCAGAATATTGTATAAGCCCTCTCGCCCCAAAGAACAAAAACGAAAAACTGGGAGCTACTGTAGCAGCAAAAGGACCAGCTCTATATTATTATCTATGGATTGAAAATGCTCCAGTAGGTGTGATGTGTAGGTGGCCCAACAGTTTGGTCCATGTAGTGTAGATAGACATTGTTGTCTTTTATGCACTTCCACACTCTGACCAGATGAGGGAAGTATTTCTCTTTCTTTGCAAAGAACTCCACTCAATTGCTGATATAAAATGAGAATAAACTGGTTTTTAAACAGTTTTTAATAACATTTTATAAATTATTATGATTTAAATGTGAAAAAGTATTCAGCTTTAAGTTTATTTTGTAGTGTCAGTGAATGCATGACCTCGTGATTCCTCAGAATTTCAGACATTTGAATTTTCCCTTTTATTTCCCTGTGAAAAGCCACAAATCCCCAGAACAAACATTCAGACCAGGAAACTTTCCTACCTCATAATGGGGTTGTTGACATTTAGTCACCTGTCTACATTACTAAGGCACACAACAACAGACTTTACCAAAAAACTATACAGACCCTGCACATCCTGCACTTTTTTCACATATTCTAACCTAATATTTTTTCACATTAATGGATAATTATGAAATGGTACAAGAGGTTTTAGAGGGGAAAAAATTCCCATGACTAAAGGGAAACTTAGTTACTGATTACACTGATCATGAGAATTAAATACATTTTTTTCCATGACTTCACCACTTCTATTGCTCCTTAGATGAAGCGTGTGAGAGTTTTAATGCAGACCGTCTGTGCTTTGTCCTTCCGTAGGGCACACAGAGGTGATCTAGTTCATAAATGATCATGCCCGGTCTGCTTTGCTGCACCTAAGAGCAGTTTGTTCTAATGGTTTCCTCTGAATGGACTGAAGCCATGAAGGTGTGCATTGCATTGCGGGAAGTTGCTGAAGCAGTCACCCTGTGCGGCTTCATTTAGGTGTGCTATCGCTCATATGCTATTAGGCTCATTAACAGAGGCATTCTCAAGATTAGAAAGGAGGACCTCAGCGGGGAGGAATTTTATTGAGACTACTGGCATAACAATGCACACACAAAGTTAATCAGGCCAGCAAAACACTGCAGGAGAAGGAACAACCAAAATACACACATACACACCTCAGTTTTAATGTTTTTAATTACCAAACGGAAAACTTATGCGAGAAGCTCAGAGAACACTTTTAAAGTAATTTCCCGTCTTGGCAAACATTCGAGATGACTAAGTAAGGAACAGGCTAAAGGTTGAAATGGCTTCCTTTCATGGGCCGCGGTATTTTTTATGACCTTGTCTGCTCAGACCATCCTGAGAACACATAAACTAACTTTTCTCCTGGTTAAACTGAACTTCACGATTGATCCTTAAATTTAAAAAAACGCGAGCGCAAACTCTGGCTTTTTTGACTCTAAATCAGAAAACCTGTTTTCTCCTGCCCTAAAGTCACTGGCCCTCTTCTTCCCACAAAGCATCTTATCTAAGCCAAACCCTTTATGGACCATCACCTTGTAATCCTGCTTCTTTACTGCTCTCACTGTGCGCTGCCGTCAAGGATAAGGCAATCAGC